ACGGGAATTTCCGCACTTTTTAACTTAGGCATTTGGCCATACCTTGAATATAGAGATGAACAGTTTGTCAGCGCAACTCCTCATAAACATATGCACAGAATTTTGTCAAACTTTGCAGATATTTAGGACACAATGTGTAGATGTGCATATTACCAGGAAATTCCGATTCCAGTATTTTTTCCGGGAATTTCCGCACTTTTTAACTTAGGCATTTGGCCATACCTTGAATATAGAGATGAACAGTTTGTCAGCGCAATTCATCATAAACCGCTGCACAGAATTTCGTCAAACTCTGCAGGTATTTAGGACACAATGTGTAGATATGCATATTCCCAGGAAATTCCGATTCCGTTATTTTTTCCGGGAATTTCCGCACTTTTTAACTTAGGCATTTGGACATACCTTGAATATAGAGATGAACAGTTTGTCAGCGCAACTCCTCATAAACCGCTGCACAGAATTTCGTCAATCTTTGCAGGTATTTAGGACACAATGTGTAGATGTGCATATTCCCAGGAAATTCCGATTCCATTATTTTTTCCGGGAATTTCCGCACTTTTTAACTTAGGCATTTGGCCATACCTTGAATATAGAGATGAACAGTTTGTCAGCGCAACTCCTCATAAACCGCTGCACAGAATTTCGTCAAACTTTGCAGGTATTTAGGACACAATATGTAGATGTGCATATTCCCAGGAAATTCCGATTCCTTTATTTTTCCGGGAATTTCCACACTTTCCAACTTAGACTTTTTGGCCATATTTTGAATATACAGATGAACAGTTTGTCAGCACCACTCCTCTTAAACTGTTGTACATAGTTTCGTCAACCTATGCAGATATTTAGGACATATTCCATTATTTTATCCCAAAGAGTTTTGCCTATTATTCAAGAAAATTTCTCACCCCCCCCCCAACCACTTCAAATTAATGTTTGGATTTGTATAATGCCAAGAAATTTTGATTCCATTATTTATCTAGAAACTTCATTCCACATTTAAATGTCCTCATATGCAAGACATTTTGATGTGAAGATTTTTTTGCAATTATTGCCCTTTTTGATCTATACTATGTATTTAAAGTGCACTAGCTGTGCCTTTCATTATGTGTTTCACCGTCAAGTTTTGGGGGAGCGTGGGGTATGTGAGCTAGCTCACTTTTCTTTCATTGCACATTATTGCTGAGAATGGGTGTTTTAGTTTCATTTTTCTTTTTTTTTCCTTCCATTTTCACTCGTTTTCTTTCCAGTCTTTCTTCTTTCATCCTTTCTCGTCTTTCTTTTTCCTCTCTCATTTTCATCTTTTCTGCTAATACTTCGGGCGTTGTTGAAAGACTGTGAGATGTATTTTTTTTACGCTTCGTCAGTTTTGGAGTTTCTGTTTTTGGTGAGGGTGGAATGAATAAGTTTTCAATCTCTGCAGTCCAGTTTGCTGCTGGCAACTCTGCATCGCCATTTTCGTCTGCAGTTGCTATAATTTCAATATTTCCATTTCTGATCAGATCAAGTAATAGTTCTGGGTTATCAATTGATGGGGGTCATGAACTAATTCATATGGAGATGCTGGTTGAACAGCAATCAGTGTAGAGCAGTCTTCCTCCTGCATACCTGCTTTTGGCTGTTCAGGTTCATAATGAATATCAGCTTGTATGGTGAGTTGATAAAGCGTTGGAGGAACTTGCTGGACTGGGGTCAGAGCATTCCGAGGTGGAAGAACTTGCTGGACTGGACTCAGAGCATTCCAAGATGGAGGAACTTGCTGGAGTGGGGTTAGAGCATTCTGAGGTGGAGGGGTAACACGGTGAGATGGAGGAGTGGTGAAATTATGCTGAGGCTGAGAAAGGTGTTCTTGTGTTGTGTGATTTGTGTTTGGCACTGAAGCTTCGAAGGCCACAGATGGGTCATAAGCATGTATGGGAATAGCTTTTTTGTTCAATCAGGAGATAAATCCCACAAGCCTTGAATCCGTTCTTTTTATTTTGGATTCTGTCATGGCCGATACCCAGGCAGATTTAAAAAGGCCGGGAAAGGTCCACTTGTTTACATGTACTAGGTTTGAAGGATGCGCCGCCAAAAACTATGTACAGGCTAAGTTGTACGCCGTGTTAAACGGTCCAACTACAGACCTATCAAGAGGTTGTAAATAGTGTGTTGTGTGTGGGGGTAAGGTAAATAAAGTTCTATTGTTTGCTATCACAACCTCTAACAGGTCTGCAGATTTGTATGAGCCAATCTATCTAGAATCAAAAGCTGGGGACGAGCTGGCCCGCAGTGTTTCAAGAAAACATTCTCAAACCATTAGAGTGCTATGTCTTCGTTTATCCAACCGTTTTCTTGAAACGTCCAAACTGTGCCCTCCAGGGAGTCAACGATGTTAAAGCCATGTAGGGATTTACTCGTTTTTCCTTTTACGATCAACATGGGTGGCATGACCTTGCCAACGGCATTGCCGCATGCCATAATTGTTGTGTTCGTACGGTCGTCACTCATACGTCCGATTATGCATTGCACACTTCGCTGAGATAGTACCTCTACTGGGGTGTGTTCGAATTGTTACCCACATTCGTCTGCATTCCATATTCTTTCTGGGTGATCCTTTAATTCAAGAGTGTTGATTATTTCCTCCAAACCATCAGAATACTTTCCAACAACTACAAGGTTGAGCATTCTTGCTCTTACATTTCTTATTTTTTCTGGCTTTCTCAGCGACAAATCTGGGTGTCTCTTAATGAAACCACAATACCAGTCTTTTCCAGGGGTACTATTTTTAAATCTAGCAACACCTATTTTTTGGCAAAGTATGCCACTTTGACAAGAAATTGTCGCCTTGATGTCCCAAAGCCCATTGATGTCGCATTTGTAACTTTGTCAACAAGGTCCTTTTCAATATCGGGGCTTAGGTAAGGCTTCCTACCACTCCGTGCTCCAATTTCAGCTTTTCCCGTCATTTTATTGGAAAGTGTTGACTTTGGAATTTTAAATTTGTCCGCCGCTTTTCTCACAGACATTCCAGTTCTTACTGCTTTAATAGCTTCTTGTATGACCTCCTCCGAGTGCCTTTTATACACACCTCTCTGCTTTTTCTTTGGCATTCTGATAAATTCAAAATTTAAAATCGAATCCTTATTTGTTTATTTTTTAATTACGTACAAAACAAAGTGGGGGCATGGAATTAAATGTTTTAATGAATACTTTTGAAAGGACAAAATAATGTGTTTTATTAACGAAATTTTCAAAAATAACCTAATATGATTAAATAAGGAGAGTTTCATTATTTTAATATTATGAAATAGAAATTTAAATTAAATGTAAAATAACAATACATTTTTTGAAAAAAAAAACACATAAATTTGAAATATATAATTAATATCTCATTCATGTAATGGTTGTCCGAAATTAAAAGAGTGTGAAAAAATGTCTTTTAATTTCGGACATATAAAATCGATAATAATTTAATTTTTTATGAATTAATAAAGAAAAAATTTTAATGAATATTATAATTATTTCTTATTTAAATCATGTGATATATATTCAAAAGAAAATTTTCTGAACTTACTTGCACACCGATCTCTTTATGGCACTACCATTGACAGCTTAAATTTCCCGGCACTGAAAGTTCTGAACTATCCGGAATTCACCGGGTTTTTTAAGTGTTAAGTATGCTAGGGTGGTATCTCCCTTTGTAAAACGTAAAGAAGATCAAGATTGAAATCACAATTTTTATGCTATTTTAAGAAAAAAAAACCACACTGAGAGGATTTTCTTTATTTATAGAACTGTCCGAAATTAACCGACGTCCGAAAATCGGCGAAGTTCCCCTAAGTGAAAAACATTTTACATATGAATTTCAGCAACATATTTAGGGAACGTATGCAGTTTTATTTTATGACAGACTGGTTTATTAACTCTTTTTTTAAAATTTATAACGGGCTAAGGAATTTCTTTTTACAAAATACATCATTATAGGAAGGGAAATCTCGAGTTTTCCCGCTTTTGATATTTGTCACACTGTGAAAGGATATCATTTTGATATCCTTTTACATTGTGACAAAATATATCATTTTTATTCAATGAGTAAATTACAGTATCTCATTGTTAAAAATGTAATCAAATTCATTTTCAAAATTTCAATGCTCAAATGTCGAATCACAAATTGCACGAAAATATTGTTCTTTAGTTTTACTTTCTTGTTTTCTTAAACAATCAAATACTTTCTTTGTTTGTTATTACTGGAATTAACGGAAGCAGCTGTTGCAGAAAAAATACATAACCCGCGTTGGATTCATTATTTTGGACAAAATGCAGCTGAGATTTTTTTTTCTGGGCCGATGATATTTTTCTATTATACGACCTCAGGGAACCCTCATTTTTAGGGTCCGACATATACATGATATGTCTAGCTTCGTAGCCCTTATCGTTCAGATGTTGTATGGCAGTGGCCCTTAGACAATGCCCTGTATATATGCGGGAAAGGCCTGCCGCCTTGCTGAATTCTTTCATGAAGTTTGGAAAGCGGGGCATCTACGTACCATTTTGTTGTACTTTTTGGTAGGGAAACCGATTCTGACTTGTATTTATTAAAAAGAGATGAGGCTGATTCCTCTGTTTTTTCAATTAATAGTTGGAGCATTTTTACAGGACACGAATTAATCTGTATCTGTGGCATACATGCGTTTATCAGTGTTCATTTCCACATTTACTAAACCACCTTGATGATTCTTTTGTTGTATTTCGTGACTAAGTGTAACATATGTACCCGTGTCATCGGTATGAAAAGAGAAGGAATCCAACTTCAGTTGGTGATGAAATTCTTGGCCCCTAGAAATGAAGTGGATTGCAATATTGAAGTAGACGCATTGTCGAAAAATGATTGAGTTAAGTTGCGCATCCTTGAAGTAAGTAATATTTTTTCCATATCACATTTTTCGATGAGGTCTTTGTGCTGTGTTGATTTTGAGGTGCCCTCCCTAACACGTTCTTTCAACAATCCATTTAGGACTCCATTAGATGTAAAAATCTTTGTCTTTAACTATGTCTATGTTTCTCTTTAGATCTGCCAGTTTTCGGTTAATAGCCCCTCTCAATTTTTTCAATATATTTTTATGATAAAGTTCCCCATCTTTTAAGGGCCTTGCCTCACAGTATTTCTCTAGGAGACCATTAAGTTGACTTGGTGATATTGCTTCTAAATCTACAGGCTCCCCTCTTCTCTCAATGCTCCAGTCTAATATTAAAGACAAATATCCTAAATTAATTATGCATTATATTTTTCATAATTTGCTTTTTTTTTTTTTTTTTGCATGGAATGTTTTTTTTCCCTAGATTTCTACTGTATATGAGATTTATTTTGGATAGAAATATTGACATTACATATTCATTTCACATTTGAATGCTGACATGGTGTATTGGCGAACACTTTCCTTTACTAAAAGGAATGAGGAACAGGTTCAATCCCTGTTGTTGACATGTTTTTTTAATTAGAAATGAAAAGTAATGCCGATTTTCTATATTTAAAAAAAAATAGAATTTACTTTTTTTGTGTATTTCTTTAAACATTTATAGTTGGCAGTATTGATGCCCCATCTTACATGTATATTTACCTTGAAACATTTTACATCCCCAGTTAGTGTTTTTCTTGGTCCCGGGAGTTTGGCGAGCTTCAAACAACCTGTTCACCTCGTCGTCTGTACTTTCTTTAAATCTATTGCCTGTTTTGAGCACGTTGAGAGGGATGGCAGGGGTCTCAGGCTTGGGGAGGTCAGATAAGGCAGGGATGCTGAGATTTTCTGTGATATCTTCTAATTGACTACTGCATAACATGTCTAAGTGTTGAAAAATCAGTTGCCTCAAAATCGAATTCGTCAAACTCCATTTCTATTTTTCTTTCTTCTCAACAATAACATCATCTGTTGTTAATATGAGATGTGATATTTTGGTCTTTGATTTCTTAAAGGACAAATAGTACTAACTTTATTTGCTTCTTCCCTCCTGTAGTTGAAGAGTTTCAATAAATGAAAGACCTGTGAGCAATACTTTAAATGTCTATATATGGTGTTGTACACCTCTTCTGAAACAAATTTGGATGAAAAAAATCTTGAATACGTTTAGTAAATTTTGTGTATTTTTCTTTGAATAGTGCAAGGACTTTCATCATTTGATATCTGTTCGAAACCCTGATAACTCGTGCTGATTTTTTGTCTAAGAATATGTAAGGGTACTAAAATTTCAAATTATTTTGAAGAAAAAAAAATCAGTAGGTAAGCTGCGTTGCGTATGTACTTAAAGCGCCCTTAGCTGTATTGGGTGGCTTAGGGGTAGAGATATACTCTCAACCACACTATTCCAAACAGATTCAACAGATACACTGTATAATTTGGGGGACATCCCCATCAGCAGATAGACTTTGACAATCTCCAGTGGCAATTTGTAGAAGTTCGTCTTCATGTACTGATCTATTGTTGGCGTTGTCATCTAAAACTATTTGGCATTGTACTGAAGTTATTAAAAACAGCAAAGCTTCAGGGTCATCAACAACAAATTTGTCGTTGATACATGCTGATTTCAGAGGAATTAAGACTCGGTCAGAACTATGGGGGTCAGGAATCGAGAGGGGAATAAATGCAGAGGAAGCCTCATCTACATCTACATGGAACATGTTCCATTAACCCTGATGACCATACACATACAATTAACAAGTATACATTAAATAATCTTAAGTGCTATGGAAAACAATTTACATTGTGCATAAAAAAGTGTACATATATACATTTACAATGTGCTATTCATCTGTTTGATTAAAAGGGCTATGGAACTTGACTTTGGACCAAAGATCTAAACTGGGGTCCCATGGGTCTGAGATTCAAAAATCGAGAAGGGTGTCAATTCGGACGGAGCCTTAGAATTATTATTGGATTCAGAAATCAAGATGGTACTGCAAGAAGGTAGAGTTTCGGGACTATGTGTTTCAGGAATGGACACGGGGGTACATGAGTCCCGAGCACATGGAGAAATCGGCGGCGAAGAAGTCGGATCCATAATTGCAATGTCAGAAGAAGCCAGAATCACTGTACATGTGCGCTGAGATGCTGGTGGTGATTTTACAGCAGAAATAGAGCTATCTGGAGAAGTTTGTTGGTTGGGCGGAAGAACTTCATATTAAGCAACTGAGGGGTGATAAGCCTGAGATGAAATGGCGCCTGGATTAAAAGGCACAATCCCACACGCCTTGAAACCATTTCCTATATTTTCCCTTGTAATTCCCGTCTCAAATGCTTTATTGAATAGATTCACATGTTCAGGAAACTGCTCTCGTTTCGATGTGGTAAGGTGACCCTAATGCTACGTTCCCACTTCGTGCGGTCAGTAACGAACGCCACGATTGATCAATCGTAGTTTATCGCAGAGTTTTTGTTGCATTTAATGCCAAGATACGAAGAGATGCGCATAGTTGCGTTTTTATACGATTCGTTGCTCTTTTATGCGCTATGGTCACGATGGATAAATTTCATGTGTTGCGATATCTCTGACGATCTGACTACCGTTCAGATAAGATGAATTACGTTCCAATGGGATTTTCAAGATTTAGTTGACAAAAGGACCTCGATCTGCCAAGAGTATCACGATCCGAGTGCCCGATTAGAAACGATCTTCTACGTTTTGATGCCTACTCTTGCGATATAATACGTTCATCGCGCACTCTTGCGCTAAAGTGCGATAGTACAACGAGTTCATTGCTATGTCTTTCACGATAAGGATCAAGATGAAACACGCTTTGAGCTACGATTGTAACCCGATAGATATATAATAATCTGGGTATACTGAGTCCATTATATTTTATCTATCAAAAAGTAAACAAAACATAAACAAACAATATATAAGAATGGCAGAAGTTGAGGTTGATGACAACATAATAAACATGGTGTTTGTAGTGTTTCTATGGCCATATGTTATTGCTGTCAAAGAAGAGAAAAGCAGCAGTAACTGTTTTCTTATCTTTTTATATATTTTTCTCTCCCACGTAGCCCCTGATCAAACAGGTTTAGGTTCAGAATGAAATACGATCTCCCGCATTTTTTGTCTCCGTTTTCCTTGGGTGGCATCTTTAAAATATTTTTTTCAAAACCCAGACATCTTGTTTCAATCGGTGAAAGAAACGCATTCAATTTTCCCCGTTATTTTTGCAAGTTTAAGTACTCCCAACAAAGCGTTAACACTCGTATCTAATGGCCTTTACTCTCATTTGTCCGTATCAAATCGTATCTGAGCGGAAAATATCTTGTCAGCTCGTGATCAGTAGGATCACGCAAATCGTCACAGACAGTGACAGAACGTGAGACATCGCAACAAATCGCAACTCAGCGGGATGTTTGTCCTGCCCGAGATCGATCCCGATGAACACGATATGAAAGCCAGATTAGATCCGTTTACTTACGATGCAACTGAGGTTAGTTACGATGCAATGCGGTCTGATGCAATGATAACGATGAAAATCCAATTTTGTTAGTCGTAGAAAAATTTTTGACGGTCAAAAAAATTCACGATCAACACGATAGCCATGAGTGAACACAAGATTTATATCGGTTTGATACGATCACTACGATTTGTCCACGTTCGAGTCCCCGATTTTAATCGTGGAGCCAATCGTGATAAGCGTAATAAGACGCATTTAATAGTCCGAAAACTGTCAGGTCCAGTTGCTGTAACATACGAGTCGTATGCGGGGACAAATAGATATTATATATGTTTTTTTCTTATGGCCAGCTTTAAAAGAACAAGATTCTCATGAGACGAGTGGCTATCTAGAATCAAGAGCTGGGGCCGCTCCGGTCCACAATATTTAAGAAATAGGTCGCGGAAGCACTTTTGCAAGAGATCCTTTGTTATCCTCCCGTTTTTAGCTCTACTGGTCAGAGACCAGAAGAGCTTATGCGATAGTAATGCGTCCGGCGTCCGTCCGTCTGTCCGTCTGTCTGTCCGTCTGTCTGTAAACAATTTTTCAAAATGCTACTCCTCCTACAGTTTTGGTCTAATTTCAATATAACTTGGCACACAAGTAGACTACACTAAGATACATAATTCTGTGTATCGGTTTTTGATTTCGATGAACGGTGTTGCCGTGGTTACTAAAAATAGAAATTTCTTTGAAATTCTTTCAAAATGCTACTCCTCCTACAGTTTTAGTCTGATTTCAGTATAACTTGGCACACAAGTAGACTACACTAAGATACATAATTCTGTGTATCGGTTTTTGATTTCGATGAACGGTGTTGCCGTGGTTACTAAAAATAGAAATTTCTGTGAAATTCTTTCAAAATGCTACTCCTCCTACAGTTTTGGTCTGATTTCAGTATAACTTGGCACACAAGTAGAATACACTAAGATACATAATTCTGTGTATCGGTTTTTGATTTTGATGAACGGTGTTGCCGTGGTTACTAAAAATAGAAATTTCTGTGAAATTCTTTCAAAATGCTACTCCTCCTACAGTTTTGGTCTGATTTCAGTATAACTTGGCACACAAGTAGAATACACTAAGATACATAATTCTGTGTATCGGTTTTTGATTTTGATGAATGGTGTTGCCGTGGTTACTAAAAATAGAAATTTCTGTGAAATTCTTTCAAAATGCTACTCCTCCTACAGTTTTGGTCTGATTTCAGTATAACTTGACACACAAGTAGAATACACTAAGATACATCATTCTGTGTATCAGTTTTTGATTTCGATGAACGATGTTGCCGTGGTTACTAAAAATAGAAATTTCTGTGAAATTCTTTCAAAATGCTACTCCTCCTACAGTTTTGGTCTGATTTCAGTATAATTTGGCACACAAGTAGAATACACTAAGATACATAAATCTGTGTATCGGTTTTTGATTTAGATGAACGGTGTTGCCATGGTTACTAAAAATAGAAATATCTAAAATTCTTTCAAAATGCTACTCCTCCTACAGTTTTGGTCTGATTTCAGTATAACTTGGCACACAAGTAGAATACACTAAGGTACATAATTCTGTGTATCAAATTTTAATTTTGATGAACTGTGTTGCCGTGGTTACTAAAAAGTGAAATGTCTGTAAAATTGTTTCAAAATGCTACTCCTCCTACAGTTTTGGTCTGATTTCAATATAACTTGGCACACAAGTAGACTACACTAAGAACATAAAGAGACTTTATCAACGATCATTATTCTATATATTGCTGTTGTAAAGTTTCAAATCCCAGCTGCTTAAGTACTCTTCTCTTCCTTTGCTATAAGTTAAAACCAGTAGAGCTTCAGTCTCGACAGAGACTTCTGGTCTTGATATGCAAATACTGTGCCGCATGGGGCATCGCTAACTTTCAGCCCATATAAAGTGGCGGTGGTTTTTCCCTTGATAACGACCTTAGGGACCATTTTCCTCCATGCATCATTTGCACAGACCATTATTGTTCTATTTACTCTGTTTTCTATCACACGACCCACTACAATTTTGGAATCATTTTCTGATATTACTTAGATAGGCGTATGTTGAAATTGTTTTCCAGTTTCATCACTGAGTTCCATACATATTGCGGTTTACATGTATCATGCAAATTGAGATTGAAATCATGTTTCCCACAGCATTCATGTACCTATTCACAACAGTAAGATTAAGCATTTATAAGACACGAAAATTGCCAGGTTTCTCTATAATAAGTTAGATCTGGATGTCTTTTCATTAGACCATTGGCGACCTCGAGCCCCTTTTTCATGGCTGTAACTTTCACTGTCTTACATAGAATGCCTGTTCTGGAAAAGATCTGCCTACAGGAAATTCCCATTCCTCTTTTGGAAGCCTCAAGGACGTTTCCAAAGACCCTTTCTTCTATATGAACATTGGAAGAACAGGCGTCCTTTGGTTGTATCTAGGTCTCCGAAAACAAAATGCAATTTTTTTTTTTCAAAAATAAATATTACTCTTGTCTGTAAATGATGTAAATAAAATTTATGAACATGGCTTAACTACATCAAATTTATTCTTTAGCATGCATCATTACGAATCATTTATCATTTGAAGAGATTTTCCTGTGAAGCGGAGGGGGGGGGGGGTAATAATACATGCATAACACTCTCCTAAAAATAATTTAAACAAACGTCTGAAAAAGGATTTCTTTATGATCAATAATTTTCAAATAAATACTGTGTACTGGCTTTTTTTGTAAATAAAATATAGACATATTAAATATAACTTGATTTAAAGTTATTTATACTTTTATTACACAATAAACGAGTTTGATTCTGTGGTACATGGATGATCAAAACGAATTTAATGTGAATTATATTTATTGACTATAATATTACATTTAATGATTAATAGTCAAAGCATATAGGAAGGGAGAGCAAACTGCCCGTGAGAATTCCACATTCTACCTAAAATCAGCTTTTTTAAATCCTCTTGTCCAAATAATTTTTGTCTGAATTCCGTACCTGAGAAGGTATTTGAGCAAGTTCCCAATGTTCCCAATCCTAGGATGTAGATTTCACGTTTATTTCTCTTTCAGTTTGGGCGTTTAGGTTTATTTTCTTGTCAAAAGTAACATTATTATTCCATTTTTATGCGCCCGGATTGATATATTGTTTTTGTCCTGTCTGTCTGTTTGTTTGTTTGCAAACTTTTCAGTTTGGGCGTTTAGGTTTATTTTCTTGTCAAAAGTAAAATTATTATTCCATTTTTATGCACCCGGATTGATAAATCCGGGGCGTATATCGTTTTTGTCCTGTCTGTCTGTTTGTTTGTTTGCAAACTTTAACCTTCGCCATAACTTTTGAACCATGAAAGATAGAGATTTCATATTTGGTATGCATACTCGACCAATGAAGCTCTTTCAAATGACACCAAGGTCAATGGCCTTGTGACCTTGACTGACCTATATGCTAATATAGCTTTTTATCTGCAAACTTTAAACTTCGCCATAAATTTTGAACCATGAAAGATAGAGACTTCGTATTTGGTATGCGTACTCCACTAATTAATCTCTATCAAATGACACCAACCTCAATGACCTTGTGTCCTTGACTGTGACCTGTATGCTAAAAATAGTCTTTCGTACCTTTGCCATTACTTTTGAACCACAAGAGATAGAGACTTCATATTTGGTATCCATACTTTACCAATCAAGTTCTTTCAAATGACACCAAGGTCAATGGCTTTGTGACCTTGACTGTGACACATATGCTAAAAATAGCTTTTTAAAAATTTTGTTGCCGCCGGGCGCATAGTGTTTCACAAACACATCTTGTTTTAACAAGTTTCGACTTCCCCGCCAGATAAAAAATCTTTGATCTGTCCAAAGGGCTAATGAATAGTACAGCATAAAGTGAGTAGGATTTTATACCTATTATTGGTCTAACGGATGGTTACATGAGAGAGAGAGTTCAATGTACAAAGTAGAAAATAAAAATTATCCGTATTCAACAAGGTTTCAAGTATCCCTTGTATCCCTTATAAAATTATCTCCAAATATTCCAACAGATATAATTTTTCTAAAAAAAATATATAGCTAGAATGTCAGGCAGGGATACTGAAATCTTCAACCAAACTTGCATTTTCTTTCTTTTTCACGTTTGATTCAAATCAATAATTATTCATAAATGTGATTATTATGTTATTTGTTGTGATTTTGAAATGTCTTGATCAGCTCATGTGTTCTCATATGCTTTACCATCGGAGATGTGCACAAGTCGATAGCCAAGCCAAAAAATTATTCAAGTGTAACGAGCGCATTGGGGTATATATCGTTACATTGTACAATAAGACAAGGGACCCACTCGACTGGGACCCTTCTAGAAGCAGAAGGGAATGTCAGAAGGGTTGGAATATATATGTCTCAATCGAGTGTTCAGATGGGTATAGGATATGGCTGAATGTAATAAGTTGCTATATTCTGCAAATACTGCAGTTGTGTCTGTTTTAGAACTTGAATCCCTTATATTAAAAGGCGAAGAGATGACTTTGTTTTTCTTGCATGCGTTGCAAGCTCAGCTATGTAAGTACACTGATTATTATATTAATTTTGTTAATTAAATCCTAAATTCTAAGAGTGGAAAATATATATTTTGAAGAACATTCAACTGAAAAAAAAATATTGTATTATTAAAAAAGTTAGTCATGAAAATATTATATATTTTCAATTTATTTTAAGGGTTTTATGTTTATTTTTGCAGAGTAAGAGATGATATTAGCAAAATAGATGGTTATGTCGAAAGAATTATTCCAGGGTATTTGCCTGAACAGTTCAAAAGACATTTCAGATTATCAAGGGAGACATTTGAATGTATTTTGAATCATTTGGCAAATTTTCCAACTCTACAAAGAAGACAGCAAACAGGACGAAGGTTACAAACAACTCTAGAAAAAGACCTCATGATGCAGCTTTGGTACTTAGGTACGCAGGAAACTGTTCGGTCGATCTCGGATAGATTTGATGTGCAAGAATCCACACTGATACTTCATAATAGAAGACTCATAGATGTGTTTAGTGATTTGTGCAAGAAATTTGTAAAGTGGCCAAACAATGAAGAAAAACAAGAAATTATGTCAGAATTTGAGGATTTCAGTGGGTTTCCTGGATTCATTGGAGCATTGATGGAACTCACATATCCATAACACCGCCAGGTGAAAATGAGGCTGATTACGTGAATCGAAAAAGTTTTCATTCAATTATCCTACAAGCTGTTTGTCGACACGACCGACTATTTATAGATATTATTTGTGTATGGCCTGGGCGTGTCAATGATGCCAGGGTCTTCAGGAACTCTGAAGTTTGTCAACACCAGGCACAGCTATGTGGACCACATCATCTTGTAGGAGATGGAGCATACCCACTCTCATCATACTTGATGAAACCATACCGGGAAAGTCAAAATATGACAGCAGCTGAAAAGATTTTCAACAAAAAATTTGCAGAGCCAGGGCCATCATTGAACATGCTTTTGGTGTATTAAAATTATTATTAATTAAAAATTAAAAATATTAAAAGGAAGATTGTGAAAACTGTTGTTGCCGCATGTGTGTTGCATAATATTTGTATCATCAATCATGATGAGCTTGGTGAAAACTTTGAAACAGAGGTAGATGAACAAGTTTTTGCTGAAGTTACTACAGACACTGCTGAAGAAAACTTGAAACGGCTGTTCTTAACCACAAAACTTTCAGATGCCCAGCCATGACTTTGACATTATTTTGTACACATCCATCATTATATTCCTATGTGTTAAGCAAATATAAGATTTAAATATGTTATATTGCAGAAAACAGTTATGCCCTTGTCAATTTGTGTTTTTATGTTAATGAGAGATTTTCGTCATTATCTATATGAATAAATGTTCCAATGACAGAAATTCTTTTTTTTTTCAATATTTTATATTTGATGCTATATATTTGTCTACATAATTGTCTAACTGTCCTACAACTCTCCTGGATGACTTATGCTTGGTCTTTCAGAATTCACATGCAAAGCATGGGAGAAAAAAGGCCAACTTTTAGATTTTTTTAAAAGTCAGAGGTCAAGGTCACAAAGAATACTTCTTTTCCATAATTGGCATAACAAAGATTGCTTTAAAACAATATATATTTTCTGTGAAAAGTAACAAAATAGTAACAAAACAATGCAAAAATAAAAAGTATGAAAAACATTTTTTGTTGCATAAACAATAACAAAGGTCAGAAAAACTGATAAGTACAATGCCTACATTTTGTGCTTTGAAATATGTCCTCAATACAGTTCAAACTGATTATAAAGTAATATCAAAACCTTGATATTTACACCATTGTGTAAACAAAAACTTTGAAACTTGAAGAATAAAATAATGGACAGTGTCAACTTAAAATGTCCCTCTTATTACAGATATGTATTTCTACTTCTTTGCAGCTGCAGCTGCATCTGCAAGTTTGCCGATAATATTGGTAAGCCCTGAGAGCATTTTCATGTGCTCTTTATGCATGGTTTCTGTTCGTCGTTTCTCCTCTTCCTCTTTCTTTTTGTCCTCTTCTTCCCGTTTCTCTGTATAGCATTTTAAGAAATCTATCAACTGAGATGCACCTATTGTGGGATGATGTTTTCGTTTTCTTCTCCCTTCCTTCCCTTCATTTATCTGCTTTTCATGATCTTTACTTGATTCTGATTCAGTGTTGGTCACACTTTCACTGCTACTACTTGTACTAGGACTTGGTTCTTTAGCTCTGCTCCTGTGGGTTGTAGGTGTAGAGGTACTTGTTGAACTACTTTCAACAACAAAAGCTGGGGTTGTAGAGTGCGAATTTCCAAAGATATCATCCATTTCGGAGGCAAATTCGTATTCCTTTCGCTCAGAGTCTGTTCTTTTCTTGGCATCCTTGTACTTTCTGTACGACGAAAGCATTGTTTTGAATCTTCCTTCGACTTGCTGACTGGTGAATGTTGATTTTCTGTATTGATCACTTGGCAAATCTCCCTCCATAAAGTTTTCTTCTTCTGTGTTGGGCTATTGAATTGCAAATATCTCTCTCTATATTTTTGATCTCTCTTTGGTCCAGGAATTAGTGGGAGTGATAGCCTCTCCACTAGGTTTTGGATCCTCTACAAAATTGAAGAAAATTAGAGAAACTGAGGAACACATAATTCAGTAGTGCTCAATCATATACCGGTAGTATTATAACAACACTAGATAACTTATTTCACAGATTAACGACGTTCGATCCTGACATTTAAAGTCTTAAACTTTTTTCGTCAAGTATATTTTTAGTTTCTACATACATAGCTTAAATAAAATCGAAATAAAAACAAGAGGCCCACAGGCCTTATAGGTCACCTGAGTATCATGTAACAACTTTCCAGCGATTGTATTTGGTTCGTGTTTTAATCCAAAAGCCATGAAATTCAAAAAATTTGAAGAAGGCACCATTGCTTATCAAAGGGCAGATTTCAAAGCATTAATTCATTTTTAGTCAAAGTACCCCCCTGGTACCCCTGACCCAGCGTCCCTGAAAGTATCTATTTTGAAAGAGGCCCCTTTCTTCATTATAAGGCCAGCATTTTTTTTTTGTTTAGGTTTAGTTATGAACATGAGAATAAAAAAGTCCCAAAGGAGAAGGAAATCAAATTTTTTTTTTTGATAAATCAATTATTAACATTTGTACATTCTTTTTTTTATGCTATTATAATAGGCTCCTTACCACTGGACACATAATGCTTACAAATAGGAAAGTAAAACATTGCTTATTTCATCATCTGCCAGTTTGGGCCAGTTATATAAATTTTGTGATGTTGGTCAAAATATATTTTAAAAAATCAATTCTTTAAAAGTCTTTCAATATATCTTCATTTTTTTTAATATGTGTTAGGTGAATGTGTAGACATTGTTCTAAAATTTAATCCTATCATAAAACAGACAGCGGGTATTGCGGGTGTAGGGTGAACATTTTTTCAATCAAGTGTAAAATAATTTTTCTGGCTGATACATGTACAAATGATACTACATGCCTGTATATATTTGTATATTCTTGCCTTAACAATTTCTTCCTCAAATGGACTGAACTTCTCCCATAGTTTTATTCATTACATCTGATGCATAAGCAACCCTTTTCTGAAGAATGATGCTTAGACTGTAAGCTATAACAGAGACCTAAACAATGTTGCTGCCCGCTGGCAATATGCAACAGCTACCACGGGCAGTTTAAAACCTGGGGGAGGAAAATAATTTACAGACAGATACTTTTGAAACGAATACATAATTATCTCACCAGCATGTCAATGTGCAACAAAGTCGTCAGCATTTTATTTATCCTTTGAACAGGTGAAACTTTTTGAATGGCACTCGTATCGATGAATTTTACATTAAACCAAGCTATCTTTCAGATCTCGCTTTATTTACCCGCAGTTTCATCTTAAAACCGGAAGTGCGAGTTCGTAAATGTGAAATATCGATCCCGACTCAAATTTGACATCGGAAAGAAAAAAATTGTTTTATTTTTTTCTGAACATTCAAAACCTTGAGCGGTGGGTTTGTAAAACTGAAAATAAAATAAATCCTGGCCTTAAATATGTAATTAGATCATTAGCATATTAACCAGGATGTTCAAAGAATTCATGCATATCACTATATAATCATTAGAGCCCCACCCTAAAACAAGAACCCCTGACCCTGGGGCCATAAAATTCACAATTTTGGTAGAGGCACTCTTGCTCATCATAACTATGTACTTAGTTAGTTTATTTAATACCCAGGAGCAGAGGAGAAGATTTTCAAAGAATTCATGTATTTTCACTATATATTATCAATAGAGCCCCGCCCTAACACCAGAACCCCTGACCCTGGGGCCATAAAATTCACAATTTTGGTAGAAGCACTCTTGCTCATCATAACTATGTACTTAGTTGGTTTATTTAATACCCAGGAGCAGAGAAGAAGATTTTCAAAGAAATAATGCATTTTCACTACCTACTTATTTAGCCCCGCCCCAGCACTAGGACCCCTGACCCCAGGGCCATGAATTTTACAATTTTGGTAGAGGACTCATTGTTGATTACAATCATGCAAACAGTTTGACTGCTTGATGTCCAGGAGTAAAGAAGAAGATTTTTAAAGATTGCATTAATTTTCGTGGTTTTGGCCCCACCCCTCAGGCCCCAGGGGGGCAGAGATCATGAAATTCACAATTTTTGGTCCCCTTCACCCATAGATGATTTGTGCCAAATTTGGTTGAAATTGGTTCAGTGGTTGCAGAGAATTCGAAGAAGCTGAAAATGTTCAAATGTTAACGCACGACGCACGACGGACAAAAACAGATAGCAATAGGTCACCTGAGTTTACTCAGGTGACCTAAAAAATGGGGGTCAATATGCTTCTTTTGGCGCTACAGCACATTTAATATGACTGACCTTTTTGCACTGAAATTTGTGTCTTAATAAAAAATCACATCTTCGACGTTTTCCCTGCAAAAGTTTTATACAATTAAAGCACGAAACAAAATGAACTCTAAGTCTGTTTAAAAAAAGACACTTTAAAATTGTGACTTAGAAAAAGTTTCAAACTGCTTCGCATAATTAATTATTTGACCTTTCTGCACTAATAAAATGTGATTTTTCTGGCATTGAAAATTTGATAAGCAAGAAAATTATTTTAAAGTCTTAAACTTTTTCTGAATTTAAGCAAATTGGTCAAAGTTATCTGGAATATTTAGAAAAGAACATCAAAAGTGGGGGTATATGATGTAAATTTTCAGATATTACAAAAAAGTGTAAATTTTACGTTAAAATTGGCTCATTTTCCCCCCCGGATTTTCAGAATATATATACTATGTTTGTCAAACTTTGTTGATAGAATTCATAAAAAATAATTTAATAGAATTTTCAGCAGCATAAGACATTTCACTCCAAATAACAGCTTTGTGTGCAACCAGCATGGAAAAATAGGAATCCAAAATAAACAGTACTTTTATAGTTCAAAAGGGAAAAATTGATCATTTTCGTCTAAAAAAAACCTTCCGCCACAAAATATAGTCCCTAGTTTAATTCTACTTGAATAGAATTTAATCGCGGTTTTTCATTGAAAATAGTTCAATTTGCATTGTAGAATTCAGATTTATTGTTAGAACTTAAAAATAATGCAGAATTTTATAAATAAAGG